GCTGGGGCTTGCGGCAGCGGGCCTTTCGTGTGTTTGGCTTCGACACCCATGTATTTTGCTCGTTATCTCTCTTTCTCTCTCTCTCTCGCTCTCCCTCCCTCCCTCCCTCTCTCTCTCTCTCTGTCTCTCTCCCGCCCTCCCTCTCCCTTCTGTCGCAGCTATCCTGTTCCCTTGAAAGCCGAAGTGCCAAGCCTCAACGGCCATCGCCGTCAGGGGTCGCGGGAATCCCTTCCCACTGCGGTGCTGCCACGCTTGACGGGGGGTTGAGTGCCTCTGGGGTATACATATATATATATACATATATGTATGTATGTGTATACATACATGATATGCATAATTGTTGTTGGCTTCGTTTCAGTCTTCATAGAATGATTAGTTCAGCAGGCTTTCTCTGCTTCCTTGTGACGGATCCTCAGTAAAAATGGCGGTGTTTCGGTTCCCCAGCTTATACCAGGTATACCTGCCGCTTCTCACTCCAGAATCCCAAGTCCCACTTGCTGAGCTTTTAAGTACATAAGTAAATAAATCTATGAGCACATACATATACATATACATATACAGATACATATACATATACATATACATATACATATACATATACATATATATATACATATATATACATATGCATATACATATACATATACATACATACATATATATGTATGCATATTCATTTATAGATATCTACGTGTTCTAACCGGAACATTGGCGATGTGTTGAATGGTCAATCTCAGGACCGCTGAGTACATAAGAGGAGTTAACGGCTAGAGCGGAGGAACATCTCGTGCAGCCTTTAAGCGAATGATCCCTCTTCTCTTCTTGCTACATGCTTTTTGGCAAGCCCGCCCCCCCCCCCCCCCCCCCACCCCCCTAACTCTAGAACCCTGTTGTAGGGTTAGGGTTTGGGGTCTGGGGCCAACCAAAAACAAAGCCCCACAAAACCCGGAAGTCTCCCCAGAAGCCCTAAACCTTAAACCGTAAACCCTAAACCCTAAACCCTAAACCCGAAACCCCAAACCCCAAACCCTAAATCCCACATCCTAAGCCCGCATAAACCCGCCCTTGCTTCGGAGATCGCGCTGCCCATGGGCATGATCCTTGCCGTGGTCGTGGACAGCGGTGTGGACGGTGGGGCCTTTCTGAGGGCCTCGGGGGTTTAGGGTTTAGGCTTTAGGGTACTTTAGGGCTCAGGGTTTAGGGTTTAGGGTAATTTAGGGTTTAGGGTTTAGGGTCACTTGGGTTCCTTTGATCCACATTCTGCCCTCTTGTTTTTTCTTGAGGAGATGCGTTTCTGTTTTAGTGTTTATTGTTGATAGAACACGGCAAAGGGGGCATGAAGAAACGTATCATGTCTCACATGGGGAGGTGCTTGTGTGAAGGCAGGGGATTCAGGAGGCAGAGGGCTCCTTGGTGCTGCGTATTGAGGGCTGAAAACCCGAAAACCCTCAAACCTAAACCCATCAACAGCCCTAAACCCTAAACCCTAAACCCTAAACCCTAAAGCCTAAACCCTAAACCCTACACCCTACGCCCTAAACCCTGGAATCCCCAGAAGCCTGAACCCCAAGACCCCACCACCTCCCAGAGCCCCCAAGAAGCAACTCTCGAATCCCGGTTTAGGGTTTAGGGTTTAGGGTTTAGGGCTTAGGGTTTAGGGTTTAGGGTTTAGGGTTTAGGGTTTAGGGTTTAGGGTTTAGGGCATGAAACCCTTGAGACCCCCCCAAGACATGGGGGATGTTCCCCCTTACTCTCACAGCTCCTTCAGAGGGATTGTAGTAGGGTACTCGAATCCCTATTGAGGACTGTTCGTATAAGGGAGAACATCCTAAACCCTGAGCCCCAAACCCTAAACTCTAAACCCTAAACCCTAAACCCTAAACCCTAAACCCTAAACCCTAAACCCTAAACCCTAAACCCTATACCCTAAACCCTAAACCTTAAACAACCCTAACCCTAAACCCTTGAGACCTTGAAGAACCACGACCCATCCCCTCCGAAAGTCCGTTTCGAAGGGATGCTCATCGGGCTGGCCGCCTCGGTCGCCCGGGCCGGGGGCTCCCAGGGTTTAGGGTTTAGGGTTTAGGGTTTAGGGTTTAGGGTGTAGGGTTTAGGGTGTAGGGTTTAGGGTTTAGGGTAAGTTTAGGGTTTAGGGTAGGATGGTTCTCTGGGGCTTTCAGGGACTTTAGGGTTCGGGGCTTGGTTCTTTTTGCAGGCCCGTGTGCCGGGCGCTTGCGTTAGGCCGCAGTGCCTTTACGTCCCCATAGGTATAAGTTCCTCAAGTCATAGAGGGTCCCAAAACTCCAAGCCGAGGATGGGTTGGAGCTGGAGGTTTCTGCCGAACGACTTGAACCCTAACTGATAAGAGGTCTAGGGCTTTGGGGGAGTTTCTCGAGGCTCGTACATGCACCTGGCACCATCAGTTGACCCTGAACGCTGCCATTCCAAGAATCTTCGCCCCGCTCTCATCTTGATTCCCCGAGCTGCAGCCCATGCTAAAGGCATCGAAGACCCATAATCGTGGGTTCCCCTACTACCCCCCCCCCCCATAAAAAGGCTGCTTAGGGATACAATTAAGCCTAACGAAGGTTATTAAAGGGGGGAAATTTGGGAAGCCCACGTTTTACGTGAGAAGATCGCCCCAGGGCAGCGGCTGCCTGCTTGCCGCGCGGCTTGAGACATGGGGATTCCAGGGCGAAGGGCATAGTGTCGACGGATCTAGGGTTGAGGGTTGAATGGTTCAGTTGGTTCTGGGCTTCGGAGGCGGAGAAGTACATAGTAGCCCAGAAGCCCCCAAACCCCAAGCTCCCAGCCCCAAACCCTCAACCCCAAACCCCAAACTCCCAATATTTCACACCCCTTTTGTTCCTTCAGGTCACAAAAAGCGGGAGAGGGGGGGGGGGAGGGGGGAGAGGGGAGGGGGGAGGGGTGGGCACAGCTCGGCCCCGTGGTCTCTCTGCTCCCAGGCCCTGGCGACGGCCATCGAGATGGGCTTCTTGGGCTCCTCGGCGGGCGCTTTTTGGGTTCTCAAGGGTTTCTGTGCTCTGAAGTTCTTGTTTTTAAGGGCTCCAGTTTGTGTAATCTAGGGGTCGGAAGAGTTACAAAAAGTATTCCCTTATGGTCCATGTGTAACTATACTCTCATATCCCCCCAAAAACAAGGCCGCTCTAGAATTCTTTTTAAAGGGGGTGTTTTGTTTTGGGGGTTTCTGCAGAGGTTTTAGGGTGTCAGGAGTTTGGTTTTGAGCTTGTGTTGGGCGGTTCTGAGCCTTGGAGCTTGTGCTCTTGGGGCTTCCGGCGGGGCTTGTAGGGTTTTCTTAGGGGCTGTTGGTTAAGCAATTTAAATTAAGGTGTTTAGGTTTTTAGGGTTTCGGGTTTAAGCGCCCTGTTTGCTTAGGGCTTGTGGGGCTTCACACAGACGATCCCAATTGTGAAACCTATCTTTCGGTTGAGGGGCTTCAGGGGTTTCAGGGCTTTTGGGGGGTTGGTGGGCTGAATGGTTCTGGTTCCCCAAACCCGAAACCCTAATCCCAGGAGGTTTTATGGTTTTAGGAGGCTTGTGTCCAAAAGTCCGTAAGCCCTGGAAAGTCGGGCCTCACAGGCCTTGAGCCCTGGCAGAACGACACCCAAAGCCCTGAACCCTAAACCCAAAGCCCCAAAGCCCCAAAGCCCCAAAGCCCTAAAGCCCTAAAGCCCTAAAGCCCTAAAGCCCCAAAGCCCTGAAGCCCTAAAGCCCTAAAGCCCGAAAGCCCTGAAGCCCTAAAGCCCTAAGCCCCAAAGCCCTGAAGCCCTAAAGCCCTAAAGCCCTGAAGCCCTAACGCCCTAAAGCCCCAAAGCCCTAAAGCCCTAAAGCCCTACACCCCGTTGAAGCCTGCAACCAGGCTACTCCTTTGCCTGCTCACTTACGAAGGCTGATTCCCAAGGGGGGGGTCAGGGTCTTTGGTGTTTAGGGCTCAGGGTTTTCGGGTTCAGGGTTTTAGGGTTTAGAGGTTTAGGGTTTGGGGCTTGCTTCAGGGACAAGGGTTGAGGGGTTTCGCGTTGAAGGGGCCTACGGGTATCGGCTGAGTAAGGGTTGCTCTGAGGCTCCGAATGTTGGGTGTTGGGTTTTGGCTGCGGGGGTCGAGGTTCACGTCCTACTTCTCGTTTGGGCGTGGGGGTGGGGGTGGGGAAGTGTGGAGTTTTGTGAGCACTTCATGGTAGGCGATGAAAGCCCAGCACGAGCCACATCCGCAATGCAAGCGCACCAAGATTTCATGAGCAACCCCAAACATCCACGTTTAGGGTTTAGGTTTTTGAGGTTTAGGGGCAAGTCTCGGGTCTGAAGGCCTTCGATGTCAGTGACGAGATGCAGCAACGGCCGGATGATACACGATGCTGTTTTCAACTAGAAGGGTAATCATAGCCCTAGGCCCTCCGCCCTCCCTCCCCCCCATTTCCCCCCTCTCAAACCCCCCCGGAAACTAACTCCTAAACCCCAAACCCTATACCCTATACCCTATAGCCTATACCCTAAACCCTATACCCTAAACCCTATACCCTAAACCCGAAACCCTAGACCCTAAACCCTAAACCCTCAACCCGAAACCCGAAACCCGAAACCCCACGTCTGGCCAGGCGCTCCGCCGGCTCTGGGTGTCCGCAGTGATCTTGGCAGCCTCGGGCTCAGACATTGGGGGGTTTTGGGGTTTAAGGCTTTGGGTTCCGGTTTAGGGTTTAGGGTTTAGGGTTTAGGGTTTAGGGTTTAGGGTTTAGGGTTTAGGGTTTAGGGTTTAGGATTGAGTTTAGGGGTTTTGGGGTAGGGTTCAGAGTGACCCCGACTAGGTAGGCCCTTGGGACATTTCATATTTTCCCCCTATTATTGAGTGTAACAGGATCATATTCAGGAACGTTTTTCAGAGGGTTTAAGGGAATTCCTGGCCGAGTGATCCTTTCCTCCGACTCCTTTAGGGTTTAGGGTTTAGGGTTTAGGGTTTAGGGTTTAGGGTCGCGACTCTGGCCCAGATGCCCCCGGTGACCATGCTCTTTGCCTCCACGGTGGCCTTCCTTGGGGCGGACGAGGTTCGCCAGTTCGGGCTCCCTGAACCCTAAACCCTAAACCCTAAACCCTAAACCCTAAACCCTAAACCCTAAACCCTAAACCCTAAACCCTCAACCCTAAACCCTAAACCCTAAACCCCAAACCCACCACCCCGAGGACAAAGTTGGGAGTTGCTTCCGAATCCTTTTGGAACCCCAAAGCTGACATGGTCAGTAAAGAGCCCCCTTCAAGCTTCGACGCTGAAGACCTAGGTAGGGCCTTGGGAGATTTCACATGTTCCCTTGTTATTGGGTTTCAGAGGGCCATATTTCAGGAATATTTTAACATATTCCAGAGGGTTTTAGGGGCCATCCTAGAGATGAACCATTCCGAGGCGAAGACGACACCCGCCTTCTGCGGGCTCATCGCGGGGGCGCCCAGCATCCAAGCAATGCTCCTTGTGGGTGACGACATTCCAAGAGGGCCTCAAACCTTTGTGGTGCTTTACTGTAACTTTAGATCCTTACCTTTTTTGGGTTAATATTGGGTTTCTTCTTAAGGCAGCTAAAAGTTTAAGTTATAGCTACCCTCCTGAGTGCAGCCAAGAAACGGGGTAAGGGAAAGCTGAGGCCTTTGCCCTCGCCGCACGGGCCCCGGCGGAGTCGGCGAAGGGCCGAAAAAGGGCTGGGCGGGCTTTTTTGGGAGAGGCACTGAAATCTATGTTAGGGGCTTGGGGTTTCGGATGTGGGTCTATTTGCGAAACCCTCTGCTATGGATTCCGTGCAGGCCGAGAAGTCCCCAAACCCAGCAACTTACCCACGACTGCGTTAGAACCTAAATGCCCCCAAAGCAGACAATCTCCGAAACCTCTGACAAGCCTGACCCTCAGCCCTGACCCCCACCCCAGCTTGCCCCCCGTGGTGTTTTATTGCTCTCAGACTGGATTCCGATACCATTCCACCCTAGTCACCTCGAACCAAAGCTGCCGTGCTCTTCATGGGCATTTAGAAGTAGGGTTATGAGTGCCCTTACGAGGGTAATAACCATAGAGGAACTATCTCTTTTTGAATCCCCAAGCCGCAAGAAGTTGGGGGCGGGGCCACAGCCCGGAAACCCTCGTTAGGGTTGTTTAGGCGACTGAGGGGCTTCGAGATCACACAGAGTCCCACCACCCGGGACCTAAACCCTAAACCCTAAGTCCTAAACTCTAAACCCCAAACCCTAAACCCTAAACCCGAAACCCTAAACCCTAAACCCTAACCCCAAACCCCTAAACCCTAAACCCTAAACCCTAAATCCCAAACCCCTAAACCCTAAACCCTAAACCCCAAACCCCAAACCCTAAACCCTAAACCCTAATGTGCTGCAAGCTCTTGGAGCCCTTGAGGCTTTGTTGTTCCTGGTGCTCGACGAGCTGCTGGTGGAGGCACGGCGAGTTGCCCGTGCCTTTTCGCAGACCCTGGAGCCCCTCCAAAAGGGTTTAGACCTAGGGTTTAGGGTTTAGGGTTTAGGGTTTAGGGTTTGGGGTTTAGGGTTTAGGGTTTAGGGAAGACCGCCCCTTTGACAACTCCCCTTTAAAAAGGCTCTCCTAACAAACTCCCCGCAAAGCTCGCCCCAAAACCCCCCTTTCCTCGAAATCCGCCATGGAGGCTCACGAGAAGGAGGAGAGTGAGGCGCGCACCCCGGGGGAGGTTTTGGGTTGGGAGCCAGCAGAACCCCTCCCAGGGTGTTTGGGGGCGGGTTTGGGGCGTTCAAGGTTTTCGGCTTAGGGTTTGAGGACATGTTTAGGGTGTTTGGGGCGTGTTTGGGCTTCAGGGGCGTTTGGGGCATGTTCAGGCTTTAGGGCATGTTTGGGGTTTAGGGTGGTGAAAGGGGGTAGAATGCCAGCGGCATGGAGCCATGAGTGGAGTAGGTAGCCCCAAGTTTAGCGACACACGTTTGGGGTGCCCATAGCGTTTGAGGGAGCTCTTTTTGTTTTTAAATGGCGGGGGTCTTAGGGCTTCGGGTCCCACATCCCTAGCAAGTCAACATACGAACCTCATCGCTCTTGCAGGGCCTTCAAAGGCCCTCGGAGCCTGAAAGGCTAAACAACGCCCTTTCCCTGCTTCGCCCCAGGGCTGGTCCGTCTCGGTTTTCCTGTACTGCGGGCTCCTGCTGAGCATCGGCTGCGACGTTCTGCTGTGAGGCCTCAGGGGGGGCTTCAGAGGGCGTTAGGGGGGGCTTTGGGAACTCACGCTTTGGGGGGTTCAGGGGTTGTAGAGTCCCCTCCAAAGCCCTCGGAGACAGCCGCTGGTTGCTTGAAAGCCACATGGGGGTTTCCGAGACTAGGGGTATCCCTACTGCAAGGGAACCCTACTACTTGGGGCTCTTACTGAGGGAGCCCCTTATCTTCGTAAGCCCCCCCACATCACGGCGTTGAGGGAGTTGAGGGTTCCGGATGTCGGGTTGAGGCTTTGCATCCATGGCCCCTAAACTCTAAGCAAACCCTAAACCCCAGGCTCTTGAGCCCCAAATCCTGAAGCCCCCAAGAACCCGCGCTTCTCCCTGTAGAGTCCTAACTTTGTGGTACTTTGCTGTATAGCTTTAGATCCTTACCTTTTTTGGGTGTATTTTGTTTCTTCTTAAGGCAGCTAAAAGTTTAATTTGTAGCTACCCTCCTGAGTGCAGCCAAGTAAAGTTCTAAGAGCCCTGAACCCTAAACCCTAAACCCCAAACCCCAAACCCTAAACCCTAAACCCTAAACCCTAAACCCTAAACCCTAAAGAACCGGCAGGTGCCGCGTTCGCTGTGCTGATTCGGGTACCTTCGGGGACTGCTCCCTCGGCTTACTGTGGCTCTGCAGCGTTCTGGCCCTGGTTCTTAGTAGGGAAGGAGGGAGTTAGGGTCCCTATAATATACCCTTTTAAGGGATTATATAGGGTACCCTTTAAGGGATTATCTAGGGCACCCTTTAAGGGATTATATAGGGCACCCTTTTACGGGATTATATAGGGTACCTCATTCCCTCATTCCCTACTAAGAACCAGCCAGTTGTGGCGAGGGGGTATCGCAGGAGAACCAGAATAGGAAGCTTTGGGGCCAACTGATCGAAAGCCAGTGTTATCTTCATCCCTCCAACTCTTGTTTCAGTAAGTGATGAGCTATATATATATATCTGTATATATATATATATATATATATTTATTTATATGTATATAGCGATTAGTTCCAGTTCGAGCTACACAAACTAAAGCAAGCAGCTTGCGCCCTGTTTCTCTTGGGGGCTGCACTCCCCCAGCTCCAAAACCCGGGGAGTCTTCGGTGCAGCTTGGAGCGGGGGCTTTCAGTTGGTCTCTGGCGCGCTGAAGGGTTTAGGGTTTAGGGTTTAGGGTTTAGGGTGTAGGGGCTCGTGTAGCGGGTTCAGCTACGCCGTGGGGAGGTCCCGGTGGTTGTGCGAGTTGTACATTAGCCATGCGCACCCACGCGCCTCGCGGCTCTTGAGCCAACGCGGATGCAGGCTTTCCTGTGGTAGGGCACCTTCCTGCTCCTTCGATCATTGGGGTCGCTACACTGCAACAGCTGCCATCCGCCCAGAATTAGGCCCACGGAGTGCCTATTTCAAAGGGCTTCTTGCGCCTTTGGGGTGCATTTCTTTGGGTTGGGGGGTGGTCCAGGCAGTGTAGGATCACGTGACTGAAGATCTTGCCCTCAAAGCCCGAAAACCCTAGCCCCAAAAGGCAAACCCGAAAACCTGAACCCTGAACCCTCGCCCAGACACCGACTTCGGGTTGAGGGTAACCTAAACCCTAAACCCTAAACCCTAAACCCTCAACCCTAAACCCTAAGCCCTAAGCCCTAAACCCTCAACCCTAAACCCTAAACCCTAAACCCTAAACCCTGAACCCTAAACCCGAAACCCTGGCTCGTCCCGAAAGCCCATCCGCACGATGCTTCCGCGTAGTACCTGGCCTCCCTCCTGGTGTCTGAGAGGAGGCTTCCGGAGTTTGGGCGGATGAGGGGGTCTTATGGGTTGCAAAAAGTTAAAGGGGGTTTGATGGCACATTTTATGGAGTTCCTTGAGGGATTGTGAAAGATTCCGGAAGCCTTCCCCCACGGCCCCGATTGAGTGTGGCTGAGACCCAAGGCAGATAGTTTCAAATTTCGCGCGCCCAGAAAACCCAAGTGGGGGAGCCATGGGGAGCCATGTGCATTCGGGGAGGCCTAAACCCTAAACCCTAAACCCTAAACCCTAAACCCTAAACCCTAAACCCTAAACCCTAAACCCTAAACCCTAAACCCTAAACCCTAAACCCTAAACCCTAAACCCTAAACCCTGGGGGGGGCGGGGGGGCTTTGGCACATTTTACTTGGGAAGGGGGCACTCTGGTCCCTTCTCAGACCCTTTCCAGAGGCCTGCTTCTTGTCTCGCGCTTCATTGTCTCGACATGCAAAGAGAGCGCAGCACCTTCTTTCTTGTCTGCAGCCGCCTTTTCCAGCTGGAGAGGTGCGTAGCAGGAGGGCCTCAAGCAGCATGTTTTTGCGTGACATGAGAAAAATCCACGCATGAACGTGAAGCCCCGATGTCTGCAAACCTTGCGTAGTGGCGTAGGGCCTGGCCCTGGACCGGCAAGCTTCGCACCCTAACCCAGCCAAGCCAGAAGACGTGACACACCCCTACAGAGAACCCGCAATCCACGCGTTGCCACACTATGAGGGCATTCTTGAACATGGCTTGTACAAAACAAAGAAATTTGAAAAGCATGCACATCCAAGAGCCTTTTTCTCATTACGCTCCGCGAATTCAGTTCCCGTGGCCCTTGGCGCTTGGCACACCTCAACCGCCAAACGATGCGACAGCGTCTTGGCCGCATCTTCGACGCATTGCTCTTTGTGCTTCGGCCCTGGGCTTGCGGCGGCTTAGGAGAAGCGGGGCGTTCGTGCCCAAATCCTCTACGGCCCCCACGAAAACCCCCAAAACCCAGAGCCCCAAGAGCTACAGCCCTAAAACTCCCATCCCGAAAGCCCTAAAAGCCCTCAAGCCTTGAAATCCCACAGCCCCACAACCCCACAACCCCTCCGCCCCTCCAACCCCTCTCCAACCCCTCTTTCCATAACCCCACAACCCACAACCTTAAAACTCCCAAACCCCTGGAAACCCCCAAATCCCCACTCCCCAAAGCCCCAAACCGCACAAGCAACGCAAAACCGCAAAGCCCCAAACCCCAAACCCCAAACCCCAAACCCCAAACCCCAAACCCCAAACCCCAAACCCCAAACCCCAAACCCCAAACCCCAAACCCCAAACCCTAAACCCCAAACCCCAAACCCTAAACCCTAAACCCTAAACCCTAAACCGTAAACACCATGGCAAGCAGAGCGCACCGAGGCGGCGCCCACTCCAGCATGACGTGGGAGGTCCCTGAGAGAGCCAGTGATGGGAAGTTTCGGGGGGTCTTGTTGACTCTTTGTTTTTTTGGGTGAGGGTTTAGGGGGTTTAGGAGTTTCAGGTATCGGAAGTTCAGGGGTTTAAAGGGATTAGGGCTTTTGGCTCAGAATTTGAGGGGTCTAGGGGTTCAGGGTTTTGGGGTTTAGGGTTCAGCACTGGTTGGGGACTAGAAAAAAACTCAGGGTGTTCTAGGAGGCGCATCTAAACGTCCCTGAAAGCCTGAAGCCCCACATTTTCCCTCCCCCTTCCCCCCCAAAAAAAATCACCAAACATAGGACAAAACCTCCGGAAGAACCGAGACGGAAGCAGCGCAGGGGAGGACGCCGACGCTGCGACCGCGCGCCGGCTCAAGGCGAAGAAGCAGGAGCAGGAGGTCCGGCGAAGGTTTAGGGTTTAGGGTTTAGGGTTTAGGGGAAGGGCTTTCTTAGATTCAGGGTACTTAAGTATCCCAGTCTAAGCCTACCATGTAAGCCCCTGAAGTACCCTAACAGGGTTCTAGCTGGGTTGTACGTACAGTTAAGTAGGGAGCTTCAGGTTTTGGGGGGGAACGCACCCCTTAGCCCCGAAGTCACCCACTCCCCCCACCCCCCGCTCCCCCCCCCCAAACCCTAAACTTTAGGCCCTAAACCCTAAACCCGCCTCGCGCTGTAACCCCCCGATAAGCAAGACCTGGCCAACTCAAGAAATCCGTAAAGTGGCGCTTGGTGGCCCCGAAACCAAAACAGCTGCAAGTTAAATGCAACTTGTTTAACTTGCAGCTGTTTTTGGTTTCGGGGCCACCAAATTGGACTCCCAGATGCCCCCGTCCCAGATGCCCAAGTCCCAGATGCCCCTATCCCAGATGCCACCTTCTCAGATGTCCCTTTCCCAGATGCCCCCCCCCTCTCACATGCTCCCCCAAAAAGATTGAAAAATGGAAACACCACTCCCCCACCACTCCCCCCACCACCCCACCAGACTTTTTTCCCCCACGCCCTCGTAGGTCTGGCAGGTATCGCTAGGATCAGAATGCTGGGTCACGCCCCTTCCAGTTTGAGCTTCGTTCGAAACCCCCCCACCCACCCACACGCAGCTTCAACTCTCACCCCAAGCACACTGAACAGAGTCCCTGACCAGTTCAGGGTTTCGGGCTTGAGGTTTTAGTGTGTCCACCTGCGAAAACCCATAATCCAATAACCCTGCAACCCCACAACTTCATAGCCCATACTTTAACCCCCAAACCCCAAAACCCTAAAACCCCATAACCCCTGAACGCCCTACAGCAAACCCTAAACCTAAACCCTAAACCCCGAAACCCCTAAAGCCCTAAACCCCTAAAAGCCCCTAAACCCCTAAACCCCTAAGCCCCTAAGCCCCTAAGCCCCTAAAACCCTAAACCCCAAAACCCCTAACGCCTAAACCCCTAAACCCCTAAACCCCTAAACCCCTAAACCCCTAAACCCCTAACCCCTAAACCCCTAAACCCCTAAACCCTTCAACCCCTCAACCCCTAACCCCTAAACCGCTAAACCCCTAAACCCCTAAACCCCTAAATCCTAACCCCCTAAACCCCTAATCCCTAAACCCCTAAACCTCTAAACCCCTAAACCCCTTAACCCCTAAACCCCCAAACGCCCCTAAACCCCCTAAATCCCTAAAGCCCCTAAACCCTGACCAGATGGCTCCCTACGTTGTGGGGCTCGTCCTCTTCATCGCCGTCGCTGTCACCGGCGGGCTGATGTGGCCGGGGGCCCTGATTTGGGGGATGTAGGGTTTAGGG